GTGTGTGTGTGTGTGTGTGTGTGTGTGTGTGTGTGTGTGTGTGTGTGTGTGGTTTACTCCCCTCCATAATTAGAAGGATCAGCAATAGTAATGCCACCCTCTGATGTGATAACTGAATTCAAATGTAACGAACATGCTAGAAACACGCTACAGCATGATTTGGACTCATTCTCTTCTCTTGAATAGAAAAGTCCTAAGCATTTTGCTTCTCTTTTAAGTGAAGTCTATAGTTACACTTAGTTCCTGATTAGCTGAGCCTAATTGTAGCTGCAACACAGTGAATAAAACTGTCTTATTTCAATAAACTTATTTCAAAATTAAATTTTATTCAACTCAAATGTAACGCTCACCACTAAGCTACTGATTTCCCTGTCACTTTGCCAAACACAAAAAGGGATAGAAATATGGATCTAAGACTTTGTAAAAACAGATCATATTTATTGTAACTGAATGCAACTGTAAATATTTTCAAAGCAGATATAATTTTATGCTCCATGACCATAAAAATGAAAACACACTGCAGCTTGCAACCACCTACATCTGGAGTAGAAGTCATATACTCTGTTTCACCAATCCCCCCTTGATAATAAGCCCAATTGGGCTTGAGCGCATGCGCTAAAATAAGCCAACACCGAAAATAAGCCCTCCCTGAAAATATTGCAAAACAGCAGCAGCCATGAGGTGACCATGCTTGCCGCCTCTTGCACCTCAAAAATAATAAGACCTCCCTGAAAATAAGGCCAAATGCTTATTTTGAGGGTTAAATGAAAATAAGACCCTGTTTTATTTTTGGGAAAACACAGTATAATAGCACACCCATGCAGAGAAAAATTTCTAAATACTCAAATGAGTACATGTGCATGCCTTACTTCAGGGGCTATATAATCTGGAGTACCACAGAATGTTGTTGCCTTGTTTTCTCCAAATACATTTTCTTTACACATCCCAAAGTCAGCTATTTTAATATGGCCTTCTTTATCAAGCATCACATTGTCTAATTTGAGATCCCTGTATGAAAAAAAAATCAATCAAAGAATTAAAATGATCAATCTTTACCTAAAATATCCACCTTACATAACTGACCCACTTAAAATAGCTTCCAGACTATCCATATCTCTGTAAAACCCTCATACCATCAACATCTCAGAAAAATACTTTAATTTCAGCAATATTACATTTTTAATATCTTGAAAACAAAATAATTCTAAAGAACTGAAAAACATCCCCCCTGTCACTTCTGGATATATTACCATCCAGTAAAAATCCAAAGGCTTATGGCTCTTCAAATTCCAAATTCTGCCAATCCAGACTTAAATTCAGCAGCCATTTTCATGATAGAATAAGTAGAGGGTCTCAATGTAAAAAACCAAACCCTATTTTTGAAACTAGCATGACTGTTTCTTTAACTTTGCCAGTGAGCAAGGTTTCTCTGATTAAGTCAGGTTGAGAGCAAAGCTGCTTTTTAGAGCTACAGTCTAAACTGAAATTGTGCTTCTGAGAGAAGGTCAGTCCAATTCAATATATGCTGAAATATGAACCATCTCCTTTGCCATTCTAGTAAAGATAAAATCCTACAGTCTAGGGGCTAAGTGCCTGGCAATTAAGAATGTGAAACAAAGACTCTTTTGTGTAATGTAAATAATAGCTTTATCCATCTTGCCAATGAGATAAATGTTAGAAAATAATTACAGATTGTTCTCAAGGGTTTTCTGAATTGCCCTTTTTAACACCTCTGGAATAGAATCCAAATTTTAATAGGAAACAATTCCTTGTGTCATATATCACATCGTATTAATCACAGATCCCACCAATTCCTCAGTAAGGCATAATGGTTAAAATATTTTATGAGGCTCTCGTTAAGATCAACAAATCACTCACCTATAAATAATGCCTTTACTGTGAAGAAACTGCAAACCACACACTATTTCAGCACCATAAAACCTGAAATTAAGCAAAAACATTCTCAACGATGTAAAATATAGTTTATTGCCTTAATAATTATATTAATTCTATAATATCATAACATTCAAATAATGTCCTTTTAACATTTAGCTACATTTCCAGTCATTTTTAGAAACTTTTCCCCATCAATTTAATGTTGTAGAATCTGCTTGATATGGCTTCCTCAAATTGCCTTCCCAATTGTATCAGGCTATTAATATGCTTCCATAATTAAAACCCTCCCATCTAATCTGGCTCTAGCAACCATTTCGCATTTTCAACTCCCATCCTATTCAAGCCTTTTGCTTTGCACAACTAAAAAGCAGCTTGTCTTATCTACAAGTAAGTGTTTGTTTTAACATAGAAGAGGGGGTAGGCTATCTTCAAACCTTTTTTTAATTAAAAAGAGTTAAACCAGCATTTCTAATTAATAAAAAAAGTTTGCATGGCCTGACAAGGGGCTGTCCTGGGATATACCACTATTATATTATTTTTTCCTCAGCAATTTTATTTTTTCTTCTTTCTTTCTTTGTTCCTTTTAAGTCAGTGTTGAGTCCTGATGACTGTCTAAACTAGTCCCTACAGTTTTCTCAGTAGTGGCTTGCCATTGCCTCCTTCCCATAGGGAGAGTGAGTGGCCCAAAGTCTTCCAGCTTCTATCTAATGCCTATCCAAACTTGTCTTCATTTCTTAATAGTCCAGGAATGCTTCAATCAACCAAAATGTTTTGCCTGAGTCTAAAGTAATATGGCAGCAGCCCATATTTGATTTGGAGATTTTACTTAGAATCATAATGCATTTAAGTACACTTCATTATTAAGTAAAACTTGCCCTATTACTAAGTTCTTTGTAAGCTTTATTGGCAGTTTAAAAAGCCTAATTGTGGACATGTTTGACAAAAAGAATGGAACAATTTACAAATTGTGTTAATGGATTGGATTAGAACTGGCAATTGTGCAGAGAGAGAAACAAAGCCTGCATTATTATGAATAGGTCTGATTAATGCTGTGGGATTCAGGAATGCTAGCCTAGAGACTTTGTGAAAATATCTAAAGTTTGCTAGAACTGTGGGTAATAATTTAAACCTTTCTTTCAATAATCCTGCTTCTAATAAGTTTCTCAGAACAAAACACTTCCTTACTTCCTTCCTCTATTATGCAGATAATTTAATAGCCAAATTGAAAGATCTTGTAACAATCTTTCCTTTTATTAAATTTTATGTAATTGTTATATATAAAACCTAATGGTTTTTTCCCCCTGCAGCTTATATTAACAGTGAAGATGCAAACCTAAGGAAAGTTTCTGCTACATTTTTTTCTTAGACTTATGCTTTCTACAATTTTTCCCTACTACAATAACCCTGTGAAATAGGTTGGGCTCAGTCACCCTGGCAGCTTTTGTGGCTGAATGTGGACATGGGCCCGAATCTCCTCACTCTTGCCCAATACCTTAACCCCTATTCCACACTAGTTTTTTTTACTGCACAAGTTGACAACTATAGCAATAGCAGTAGCAATAGCAGTTAGACTTATATACCGCTTCATAGGGCTTTCAGCCCTCTCTAAGCGGTTTACAGAGTCAGCGTATCGCCCCCACAGTCTGGGTCCTCATTTCACCTACCTCGGAAGGATGGAAGGCTGAGTCAACC